TTAATAAATTTTTTCCCCATAAAATCGGTTAGAAAATTTTTATCATTTTACCGATCATTACTAAAAATGATCGACAGTCGGTGACTTTTGTCAGGGGAGTGTACGAACCCACCTAGTATCACCACCAAAATCAGTTACGTATAACGGAGCTTAAATTTATTGCCGATATCGATATTAAAATTAATGATTAATAATATAGTAAGAATAATAATAACAATTTATAATGAAAATTTTATTTCTTTGAATATTGTAATATTTTCTAAATAGTACACAATTTTGTTTATCTTGTCAAATTCGAAATCAAATACTTCATTTTAAAATAATAAATCATGTTTTGAGTGTACAATCCATGTAAATGAAAGCAAAAAAACAGAAACGTAAATAACATGTATGAAGCTTTTGCAAGTTCATTGTAATTATATTATGGTTTAAAATTTTCTAAATCTAATATTATACTAATTTTGGTACAATAGGATTCTCAATATTCTCTTATTACAGAAGCTAAAGAAACTTTATAGGAAAATAATCGAATATCAACCTTAATCAATTACACAACGATCGATCTGGTAAATTCAGAAAACCAAAATATAGATAATGAAGAATCAAGTACTGATAGTAAATCCGAATCTGAAATTTTAAGAAAGTACAAAAAAACTCATCATGGGTATAAAAAAAAATTCCATTGTATTTCCATGTTTAAATATATTTATTAATTTTATGTTTAGGCGCTTGATGTCTTGAAAAATCTAATAATCTTCCTAAACAAAAAAATGGCTTCAAAGTATTGAATCGAACTTTAAACCTATTCAAAAAATGGTACTGTAGATGACATTAAAGATTTTGAACGAGCAAAAAAGCTTCCAAAAACTTGGAGTGGACGTAACAAAATACCTTTTACTAGTAGCTGATAGCATAAAAATTTAAATTTGAAGCTTTATACGTATATTAAATAAAATTTGAATTTGGATGTAAATGCATTCTATACATTTGAATTGAATGTAATTTGACTTACAGTAGAACTTTTAGTGATAATTAAATAAATTCTAAGTTGAATAAATATAAAAAAAAACTTCGATTATTTCTTCAAAAATCTTGTGATCTCGTGATTCTATTATTCTTGTGCGCGGATTTAAATTTAAAAAGCGATTACGTAATGATTTTGGTGGCAATACTAGGTGCGTTATAAAAGTACCCTTATCTGAGTATTAACTGGGTATACTAATACTTGGGTTTACTACCCGAGTAATACTCGGGTATGTCTACCCGGGTATTACTTGGGTATATCCACCCGGGTAATACCCGGGTGTACTTACCCGAGTAGCCGGTTATCCGGTTAACCCGAGTAATACTTGACTCGAGTACAATCACTACGCTTATCATACCACTTTATAATAATAGCGCATATAAATATGCCTGCTCTTTGGACTAAAGAATGCCAACTTAGGGAGGGTGATGAGAGGAGTTATGTTTTCAGTGGACAGTTCATCAGACTCATAAACAGTCGGCTTGGATTGTGGGTTACCTCTATGCTTCAATTCTAGCCAGCAAACATCCAATTTGTGCTCCGTATTGATATGTTCAATAATGCGTTTAAAAATCGGGAAGGGTTTTGCTACATACATAATGCCCTTAATAGAGGGATACTTCAACAGAAGCTCTATAAACCCTGCCGATTCTTCAATTAAAAAATTATCTGAATGAAGATTAAATCTTTTCCGATAGACTTCAGTGCTTTTATAGGCTTTTTCTTCCGGAGGCGCTTTGGTGAGTCGGCGTTCGTATACTATTTTTCTGGATTGCTCTAAATCATCCTTGTAATCGGAGTCTTTCTCTACCAGCTCCTTAACGGTTTGAAGATGGTCGGAAAATTTGTTGGTATTTCTAATGCTTTCCCAACGGACTATTTCCACTTCCATCTGCAACTTTTTTAATTTTTGAAGCTTTCTGCTGAGAAAATCAACCCATACTTTCCCACCTTCTTTAGCTGCTTTAAGAACATCGGAATCATAAGGCACAACACTGTCTTCTATTGCCGCATTATGGCACTGTATAGTATCTGCACTACGACATAAATCTTTTTAACAGGGTTTCTTCTAAAAAAATCTACAATGTTTTCAACAAAAGCAGCTTCACCATAGGGCCCAAAGGGCTCAAAAAAGACGCTGATGAGCAGCGCAATCTCTTGGTTACTAAAAGGCTCTCCTTTTATTGCGTAATGGCCATCCCTCCCTAGATTGGACAGCTTATACTTTAACATTGTCAAAATTTTGAGAGTGTACCCGAAAGATAGGGCGTCAAACCCCAGAAAAACTGAGCTCTAACAATTTGGAAGCACCCATGCCGTTTTTTAATCCAGAAATTAGGCAAAATAATTACATGTATAATATATGTTGTACATAGGTGGAAACGGAATTTTAGATAAAAAAAATCATTTCGTCATATTTACGCCCTAACCTTAACCTTAATTACCGTAATTAATTTAACTATAAAATTCCAAATCCCAACATTAAAGATGGGTCCCGAAACCCAAACCTTCCTAAACCCTTTAGGTTTAGGCTATAGTATTAGCTAGTTTTGAGTATGATATTTTTTGCCTAAATCCCAAATCCTAAACTAAAACTCAAATCCCAAACTAATTCCAAAATCCCAAACTAATGCCGAAATCCCAAACTAATACCAAAATCCCAAACTAATGCCAAAATCCCAAACTAATGCCGAAATCCCAAACTAATACCGAAATCCCAAACTAATGCTGAAATCTCAAATCAATGCCAAAATCCCAAACTAATACCAAAATCTCAAACTAATACCGAAATCCCAAACTAATGCTAAAATCCCAAACTAATGCTGAAATCCCAAACCAATGCCGAAATCCCAAACTGCTTTTAAAATCCCAAACTAATTTCTAAATTTCAAACTAATGCCAAAATTTCAAACTGATACTAAAATTCCAAACTGATACCAAAATCCCAAACTGATACAGTACGGGACAGCTAAAGATATCCAATTTAATTGCCTTACAAGAAAATGTTATAACTTTACAAAAAAATTATTAAAAAAGAAAACCCTCTTTCAAATTGATAATTTGTAACCCAAACTACATTTCTGAAAGAGGATTTTTTCTTATTTTTATTTTTGATGGCACAGTTACGATTTAAAGTTTACCTATTTTATATGTAAGCTAAGAATTTGGCACGTGAAACCAACCAATCAAAATCAAAATCCTTCGTTCACGTGCCAACTGACCAATCAGATCAACCGGATTTAAAAAAGATTTAAAAAAAAAATTTAAATTTGATATGCATCGTTATCAATCTTTTTCATTTTAATAATTATTTTAATGCCAAAGAAGTCTAAGTTGAAACAGTTGAAGTGAAACAGAGCAAGTTTAGCTTGTTCTGTGCGGATCAACACTAGCACTAGCACCAATATCGCCGGAAACAATGCCACTACCAGAGGCAACACTATTGATCTGATGAATACGAAAGTGATAATTTAAGCCAAGTTGATTCTGAAGTCAATTCTGAAGTTGACTATAACACCAAAGAAGATAGTTACTTCTGAGATGATAATGGCCTAAAGTTAGCCATTAGTCATTTCGCTGCGTCAGCAGCAAGTGAAAAAAAAAAAAAGAGATCTGTCATTTACATTGAAAACTCTAAATGAACCAAGCAAAGAAGAAATAAAATATTAAAGGATGCAGCTATAGAATCACTAAAAATTTCACAATTTTTTTCTTTTGTTGATCCTGAGTCAGCTATTAATGAACTTTTCAATAAAAGTGAGGATGAGAATAAAAGTAATAATGAGGATATGACTGAGTAAGATAAAATTTCTGAAGCGATCAAATTTGTGAATAGGGTAATATATAAAGATCAACTTTCAGATGCTGAAAAAGCTCACTATATGTGGTTTTATATTTCCTCTGGCTAATATTAAATGGAAAAAAATATATATAAGCATCTGAAGCAGTTGCTAAAGTTGTTGCTGATGGGCCATGGCTTACAAGATATATTAGAAAATAGGTGAAAATATATATGGAAGATATACTCTTTGTTATTTTTTAATTTAATAATTTTTTTTTTTATTTTTTATTTTTTTTTAATTTATTTTTAATTTATTTTATTTTAATTTATTTTTTTTTTCAGGAAAGTTAATCAAGAGCTCTCACAGAAAACACTCCTCCAAAAGCTTGCTTAATGATGAGTTTGTTTCACTTTAAGTGGCTGCTTATCTGCACTTCCAAAAGTTTAAAGTGAACCTGGCTATAGTTAAAACTTATGTTGAACAAGAGGTTCTCTTCAAATTGAATATAGGATCTATATGATCTATTTCTATTAGAACTGCTCGTCGATGGATGCATAAACTTGGCTTTCAATATAAGTGTTATCAAAAAGGCTGTTATATCGATAGATATGAAAGACCGAATATAGTTGCTTATTGTCAAGTCTTTCTTCAAAAAGTTGCAGAATTTGAGTGATTTATATCCAAATGGTATGTAGATACAATAAATGAAAATAATTTAGATGAATTTAATCATGTTTATAAAAATTATATAATTAAAATTAAAAAATGTTTATTAAATAAAATAAAAAAAATAAATAAAATGAAATGTTTTTTTAATTTGGAATTTATTTAAAATATAGGTTTTTTTTTTTTTTTGTAATTTTAAGATATGATGAAAGCTATGAAGTTAGAACTTTTTCACAATTAGCTAATAATGAGAAGGAGTATATTTGGATAACCTATAACAAGACTACCTTTCATACTTATAATGGACAACATGCTGTATGGAGCCCGAATAGTGAATATTCATTAAGAAAAAGGGTTTAGATTTCAATGTATATATTAGTGATTTTTTGACTAAAACAATTGGATGACTTAAAGATGATCTTGAAAAGATGTGTGAGATAATGGTAATAGGTGCGTGCTACAAAGGATTTTGGGATATCTCAAAGCTTCTCCAACAAGTAAAATGGACAGTAAATTTATTTGAAAGAACGTACTCTAAATGCATAGATAATTTAAAAATTGGGTTAAGTTCTTTTTTTTATTGTATTTATTTATTTATTTTTTTTAAAAATTTATTTATTTTTTATTAATTTATTTTTTTTCTTAATTTATCATTTTAATTTATTTTTTTTTAAATTAATTTTTCTTAGTTTTTTAATTACTTTTATTTATTGTTTTAATTAAAGTTTTTCTGATAATAATAACTAAATTTGTTCTTATCTTCAAAAATATTTGTCTTTGATAATGCTATATCTCATACAGCTTTTGCTAAAGATGCGCTTGTAGCCTCAAAAATAAACCTTGGTCCAGGTAGTTCAGTTTCTAAGATGTGAGATACTGTGTGGAATGGGAGCACCAATCAATGATTATTGAGAAAGATCATTTCGTTTATATCAAAAAAACAAAATCATACATTAATTTGTATAGTAAACCAAAGAGAATCAAATAAATACTTACTGATAGAGATTTGTAGTGAGAAAAAATGGTGTTAGAGTGTAGTTTGTATAAGGAGGGTTCAGATAGCGATATTATTGATTGTTGTGTATGTTGTTTAATAGCTAATCAACCTAATTTCCTTTCGTAATATGGTCAAATTCAACAAGAAATTGAATCTCATAGTTATAAAGTAACTTTATTTCTATTAACTATTTTTTTTTTTTTTTCCTTTGATAACTACGTACTAAAATTTTATTAAATATTTACTACTTAATACAACATTAAGCTATTTAATAATCTAATTAGACTAAAACCCGGC